CCACTTCCAAAATATGTCCAATCATGTGAGAAACAGTCATCAGCTGTGTTATCTCCCTATGGAGCCTCCATTCTAATTATGTAACACCACATTTAACCAGGAGGAAAATCTGCCTAGAATTTGAAAAAGTATGAAGGAAAATCAGATCCTAGTCAAAATCTTTAGAAACCAGATTAAGGCAAGATCGTGTGCAAATTTGTTTCAAATTCATCCATTTTTCTTCACATACATTATTACTTTTAAATGATTTATTATTTGTTAACAACATTTTTTTTCCTTATTCTATGCCAAGAAGAGCACTGTACTAAGGAGGTTTCTGACTGGGTACATTTGCCTGCCTTCATTGCACATTATGAACATTGTACAAAATGAAGATGTACTATGAATATCCACAGAGCAAATTCCTGAATGGCTATTTTTTATTCTTCTTCACAAGCTTGAAAGTGAGGTTTTAAGTCTTCTTTACTCTTTTAAAATATTGTTTATTTTGACCATTGTCTAACATTCATGAGGATATATATTTTCCTGTTCACTACTGAAATAAGACCACTGCCTTGCCTATGATAGGACTCAATGTAGCTAAGCACAATACTGACCTCCCTGTCTGAGAAAATGAGTTCACAATGGGGAGGACTTGTCTAACACAGGAATGAAAGTGGGGTCTCCAGTGTTGTCTTTGGTAAGTCAAAGCAAATTGGTATAGGTTAGATCTGGAGTATCCCCCAAAGGCCTATGTGTTAAAATATAAAATCAATTAAAAAAAAAAAAGACTTGTTCCCAAGCCCACAGAGCTGTTGGGAGGTGATGGAATGTTTAGAATGTTGGGCTTAGTAAAAGAAACTAAGGCCATTGGAGGCAGGTCCTAGAAGGGGATATCAAACCCATCCCCTTCCTGTTTCTCTCTTTGATTCCCAATTGTCATGAGGTGAACAGCCTCCTCCCTCAGCCATGCACTCCCGTCATGATGTACTATGTTGCCACAGCCACAAAATAATAGGGACAAGTGACCCTTGACTGAAAACTTAGAAAATCTGGGCCAAAATAAACCTTTTCTCCTTTTCAAGTTGGTTATCTTAGGTGTTTTTCACATTAACGGAAAGCGGACTAACACAAGTCTTCACAGTAATGAAAGGAGTAGGTCATGTTTTTGTGTATTTTTCATCTTTCTAAGAGTCTAGAAACTGAGAGAGGTATCAGACCTTTATCTAGGGCAATTTTTTCATCTAATGAGATGTGATGAACACTTACTTTCAATCGCCTTGATTTTATTTTCCCATGGGATACAAGCAGCCTTGAAGTTCTCAAAATCACGAAGGAATTTTGCCCATTTCTGAAAAGGAAGTCAAGTACAGTAGTAAAACCCTACTTCTTCAATTGTCAAAATGTATATTCCCAACCCAAATCTTCACAAGACAATGAGTTTGGAAAGCTCTCACCAATACATAATACTACTTTTTTGTAAAAATGGATAACAGTAGGTTTCACCTTTGCTTCCCTGTTTCCCACTATCCCCAAGTCAATTTAATTTTTAAAAAAAATTAAAAACAATATTTGTTGATCTCCAATTTTAGAGAGAGTATACTGACCATTCATAAGATCTGTCTAATTCTACCAACAATAAGAGAGAAGGGACTGGGTTAACCCATAATAAGGTGATTGGCACATGGTGTGTATTTAATTAATATTCATTGCATGAAGGAATTAATGAGATACTAATAAGACACAGTGTCTGCCTTGAAAGGCACTTCCTCTTCTAGAGTAAAATGTGTATAAATAGAGATTTCAATACAGGATGGTAAGTTCTATGACATGGGACGTTTCATTGTGATAGAGGCAGAACAGTCAGCTAAATGGAAAGAAATGGTGTCACAGGAAAGGAAGGAAGAAACAAATCAGCTTACTAAAAATCTTCCTTCTATTTTACTCCACAGCATTATCCATGGTCAAGGGACCACTGGGAAGAATCAGAATGGGCAGATCATTTTTCATATGTGTACTTATGCTGGGATAATGTGAACACTAAGCAAGCAAAACAAGCCTAAATAACAGCAGTGTAAGTCTAAAGTTTGAAAGGTTACTCACAACTAGAAACAGCCCAAATGCCCATCTACAATAGAATGAATCAATAAACAGATTGCAGCATCTTCATAAAATAGAACACATCAATAAAAATGAACTAAACTCCCATAGTAACATGAGCCCCGCTCATTATCCTAATCACGCAACAAATTGAAAACAAAAGCAGAAACACTGTAATGACACTTATATAAAAACTATAAAGCAAAATAAATTAATATATTGTTTGTGTGTATATATATAAATATATGAAAATCAAGATATATGAATTTTATTCACAAATGAAATTCATTTAGCTTACAGTTGGTGTAAGATTTATAAAAGACAGTATAGTAATACCTATGAACCTACTTTACTGTATTGACTATAACTTTACAGAAGAATTCAATTCAGTGCCTGGTGCATAGTAATACAAATAAACATTTCTCTTTCCTTTTCTCCAAAATCAATATTTTATCAGTATATCATTTTTTCTTATTTTTTATCCAATGTACATGTTTGATGTTCTTGATACAGAAAAACTATATGGTCCTGCAATTTGCAGGCATTTTAAAAAAAAAGAAATCTTGATCAGACCTCTTAACTTCCAGAAAATTAAAATGGAAAGTATTTTATACTTGGAGGTGATAAAATATTGTAAGTCTTTTGCTATAAATCAGTGTTTCTCA